GCGGACGTCGGAGTAGCTGTTCGGAGGTAGTGCTTGTTTTCGTGGCGGCATTTCGATACAAGTTCTGACCTTCTGTATATATATATATATATATATGTGTGTGTGTGTGTGTGTGCATGTATATATACGTATATGTATATATACATGTATATATCCGGGCTTGATGTAAACGTAGCTTAATGCTTGAGCACCTATTTTTGGTGGTGATGTTTGCGCTTACGGTTTTTTTTTGTGGACCAATCAGCAACAAGCTTGCTTGGTTCGTACCAATCGAACGCATACGTACCTAACCCGAACAACCGTGTTCCGTGCGCGATGTGAACGTAGCTTTAAGGCCTGTTTATACTTCAACAATAACGATAACGATAAAAAAAAAAAAAGCTAAAAAGCAATTGTTCATATAGAAAATAAAAGAAATAAGAGACGTTTTTACACTAGAACGATTCGATAACGATTGATCAGTTATGCGATAACAACATTTTTTGAAAAATCAAATCAGATGACGTCATAATCATGGAAAATATTAAATCGTAGTAGTAGCAACGATGTTATCGTTTTTCCATGATTATGACGTCATCTGATTTGATTTTATAAAAATATTTTGTTATCGTATACACGATAAATCGTTATCGTATCGTCCTAGTGTAAAAGCCTCTCTTATTTCTTTTGTTTTCTAAATAAACAATCGCTTTTTGGCTAAGTTATCGTTATAGTTATCGTTGAAGTATAAACAGGCCTTTAGAGTCACCTTCTCAAAAATTGTCGAAGAAATAAATATGTTGCCGTTTTTGTAAGTTTGGTGGCGCTACAATGCATACAGTAGTCTTGGCGTTAAAGTAAAATGAATATTCAATTTCTATTGCTACTTATTATAATTATTCGTAAACCTGCAGCAGTGTCGCCCATAACGCTTACCGCGTTGCCTGGGATACAACAAAGCAACTGCTTCTATTTTGAACACTTATAATCCTGGTACAGGGCCTACTTCACAAACGGAAACATTTCCTCGATAAACAGCAGCGGCATTCGAGTACCGATAGTCCATGTTTCATCATATTTTGGGCTTTAACTACTTGTTTCATCAAGAGCGGAGTTGTTTTAGTCGTGAGAAATAAAAAAAAAACCAAAAAAAAACTGCAACACAGACGGGAATAAAAGGTAAGCATCTATTCCTAACCACCAAGCTATAAAACATGTACCCGATAATAAATATATAAAGTAGCATACACTTTTTTTTTTAAGAACCGCAAATTTTGCCCAGGCTCAGCTGTTGGTTAAAAACGGCATTTGAAACTTTACAGCAACCTCAATTTTGTTCTTATTTAAGCTTTAAGCCCTATTTACACTGGAGACGATTACGACACGATAATTTCTGACGCATCTGATCGCCGGAAAGTATAGCGTTTACTCTTTGTACGATTTACCAGCGATTAAGAACAAAAAAAACCAAAAAAAAAAACCAATGCAAATATCCACAGCTACAAATCGATCATGCGAGTCGAGTCTTTCATTCATCTAAATGTGAGCATGTCATTTTATCAATTGATAGAGAACGCTTGGCGTACATAGGCCTACATAAACAAACGAGTATAATACATTTCCTACGAAAACCAATTTGTGCCAAAGAAGTATGTTAGAATTCACTACTAATTCGAAATTTCGAGGTAGTAATTCGTAATTTTGATTTAGTATAATTCGTGCTTTCAAATTAGTAATTAGTTTTATACATTGTTTAGCGAAATTGGCCAAAAATTTTATTTTTGGGCCAATTAGCGCTCCCACCGCCACGAAAAAGCGGAAATTTCAGAAAAAATAAATTGTCTTTATTTTTATTACGCCCTCCGCTGCCTTGAAATTTTCAAAGATAAAATATGTATATTTCTTCCTAATTATATAAATTTGAAGCATTTAACCATCCTATTTTACATTCACCAATAACATTTTATTTTTATATTCTCCTCCATCTGGATGATTTTAGGAAAACTATTTGCTAAATAAGAAAATAAAATCTTATTTTTATTTTTATTCCACCCTCCTTCGATAATCTTTAAAAAAATAAGTACGCGAAACAAGGGATAAAAAAGTATCTCCTATTACTGATTCGTAATTTTCGAATTACGAATTCGTAATTTCGAATTAGTAATTCGTAATTTCGAATTAGTAATTCGTAATTTCGAATTACAAGCTAGTAATTTCGAATTAGTAATTCGTAATTTCGAATTAGGTAACTTGTAATTTCGAATTAGTAATTCTTAATTACCAATGTAATTCGAAATTACGATTTTGTAATTTGAAATTACGAATTATTTCTCAACATAACTCAGCTTGCAGAGGCGGATTTAGGTGAAAGGGGAAAAGCTGGGACCCCCAACCCCTTCATATCGGAAAAAAAAGGAAAGGGAAAAAGAAAAGAAAAATAAAAAAAAAGAAAAGAAGGAGGGACAGGACCTGTGAGCTGATTTTTTTTTTTTTTTTTTTTTTTTTTTTTTGTTAAAATGGGATTTTTTTTTTTTTTTGTTACAATGGGAAAATTAGAAGTCGGGAACATGAATGCAACTACAGCACTCATTTGTTTTATGTATGTATGTATACACACATAATAGGCATATTTATTGTAATATGAATGAGTTTACCTGACCGTTTTTAAGAGGAGAAAAACCTTGAATTTTGAAGGACTTAAAAGTCATTAAAGACTCATTTACTTATTTTAATAAGTCCGACCAACTATGGGAAAATGGTGCTCAGTTTTTATTCAATCTGTCTTCAACCATCACAACACAATTACTCCCAAGAACAGTCTTCATAAAAAAGGTTGGAAAGTTGATTTCGAAAACAATGAAACCAGGTTGTTTCTGCAGGTTAACCATCCTGAACACATTAATGAAGTTTGTGATCTAGCGCGAAATGTTGTTTGTTCCCGGGAAGTGCTTTCCGATATGCTTACCTCAGTATCGCTGGATATTTACATCAATCAAAGCATAACCGGATTCAAAGCGCAAGAAAAGCAAGTTGGGGGTACTTGCTATGCCCACGCATCAGCTGCGGTTCTTCACTTGTCTCTGAAGCGTATTCGTGGAAGGCATGATGGTTATCCCGAATTTAAAACACTGCGAGATGAAATAGTTGATAGTTATAAGTCAGACGGAGCAGCTACATATGAAGTTCTGAAAACGATTTGTCCAAAGTACAATCTACATTGTGAAAAGGTTAAAGTTGTTGGTGCCTTGGAAGCGATCACTAAAAACAGACCAGTGGTTGCCATATTTCATCTTACTGATTCAGAATGGAAGATATTCGCTGAGTTCTACAGCAACAATTCAACTGGAATTCTCAGTAAAAGTGAACTGGACATACGAAGAAGACGTGGAAGTGAACAGTTGAGTGGACATGCAGTTGTTTTAACAAGCTTTAACAGTGAATGCCTGTATCTTATGAATTCGTGGGGAGATGACTGGGGAGATATGGGTTTCTTCAGAGTTCAAAGCGCTGATGTTCTGGATCTTAAATTCATCGATGTCAACTGGACCGAAGATGATTTACTTGACAGTGAAAAGCAATATCATAAACAGCACGGAGCCCAAATAGCAGCAGATTTGATTCGTAAATTGCAAGGATTGCAGCAAGCCAGATACACGTGTCCAAAGTGTAACATTGAATCTTTGGTGACTGAATTTACAGGTACATTAATAAATGCAAAGTGCCCATCTTGTAAACAAAGTTTTCCATGTGGAGAGTCCGGTAACATCCTAGCATTGAATATGTACCTTCTCTCTTTGACCCGATAGACTGCGAATTTTATAATCAATGCTGTAAAGTGCTGGACAATTAATGACATGCAGAACTTCTGGGGTATTAATAAAAACATAGGTTTACAATAATTAGTCATGCGAAAATAGCTATTTTAAGTGTGCATAGAAAATTAAGGATACATTATAACAAAATATTCTGAGAAATTTAGTTACAATTATTCAACTTTTCTCCCAATTCCACACTTAATCTTTTAAACAACGGGGTCAATACTAATGATCCATAAAATCCATCTAGTATTCAATTTGATATTATTATTATTAAATGTATTTATTTTTAACATAGCCACAGATAGCTTTTATCGTACAAACAGTTGAAATATCGTTAGTAAAATTCAGAATCGCATTCCCCACTGTATATTACCAAATACAAAATCCGAATTCTAGGCTATACCTAAAAGTTTAGAAATCTGCCGAACTATTTTAATGAGGGCTTATATTGAATAATAGATTATTTAGGGTTCAAATCAGACGTAAAAATGAGTGAACACTGACGGAAGATTCTGAAAACCACAGATTCCATGTCACAACAGATCGCAACATTAATGCAGTTTAGCAACCAGTTCATCATGCCATCTTTTGCGACTGCTCCTCCTCTGATAACATTAAGAAGCGAACATGGATGGTTGGATGTCACCCACCGTTTCTTCTAGTAGGTGAACAGTGATTGATCACTGTTATGTCACCTCTAAAGGTAATGTTTTGCTTAGTTTAACACTTTTGGTATTTGTGCATATAAACCTGTAAATATGAATGATTTTGTCATTACTGACGATGACATAATTAATTTCGAAATATTGAATCACAATACGATGGCGTGCATTTCAATACTTAGAGTAGGCCTATCAGGCTGTATAGATGTTACAGAAATTGAGCAGTTTATGTAATACGGTAGTGATATTGTTTATAGTGAGAATTTTGTTCTGCAGTAGTAAGAGAATTGTATATATTACTGTCCTTTCCCCAATTAACTGCACTTCTACAAGTCTTTACAAAATTGCATAGTAATTTATTAAACTAGCAATTTAGAAGCTGTTTTTGGCTTTTTAAAATTATTCTTGTTTTGACGCTGAAATAGCTTGTATCCGTTAAAGTGTGATGCTTGTAAAGAATTTTGTGCACAACTGTTAGAGTTGCCGTTTTTTTTTTGTTTTTTTTTTATTATTACATGTTTCAAAGCTACAACTTTAATATTGTTTATGAATGTTTTGAAAATATTTTTAATTGTGCTTTCTCGTTTAAATGATATGACTTTATAGTTCTTTGCCTGTGTTAATAATAGGCCTACATCTTTAAAATCGTTTAGAATTATCTCTAATGTTGTTTTAATATTTTAAATAGACATATTCAATGTTGTTTGCTAGATTTTTTCATCACATGAGCATTAATTTGTTTATAGTGTTTATTGTTTATAGTTTATTGTTACATATATTTGTGATGATATTTGTATAAAATGTATGTCTTCAATAACGTTCGAAGTCATGGTGTAAAGTAAAAGACTCATTAGATCATCCATGTTTTTATTAGTGCATTTGTGTATGACCTACTCTAGAAATTTGAGTTCCCTTACTTTGCACTGAACCGATAGTCCGAGGTGACATAATTATGGTATTATATACTAGTTTAGACTTGATGTCTGTTATCAATGCTTGGAGGAAACGTGTTCGGAATTTATACGCAAGAAATTCACATAATTTGTATTTCACCGACAGTGGTTATAAACGACAATAAAAGTTAGAAAGATATATAACAATTTGTTTGTTTTTTTTTTTAATTTGAGTGCTTGGTAGGCCCTTTAAGTCTAGTATTTGTGCACCACAATTATTTCCAATGGGGTCCAGAAGCCAGGGGAATTATTGCACAGAAGAGAATATAGTCGGGTAAGTTACAGATAGTGATTTATAAAATCAGGCAAGATTCGTTAAATTAAAAAAAAAAAGAAATGTTTGGGACCAACTGTTTGGGCCAACTGTATATATAAAGTTTGAAAATTGCAAAAAAATATTAAAATTCATATTTTAAAACGATCATATTCAGCTCGTATAGGCCTACAATGTATAGGCCTATATTTCATAATATTTAAGCACTAATGACGATAATGAAGATGACTCGTTCTGATTGGTGATCCGAGTTATTTTTCAAATGCATAAATAGGCCCTATATACTTCACAATCTTACTTTTGCTTGTACATATCTAGACATAGATTAGGCATAGGCCTATTATCTAATTACAGTCGATGCTGTTTCTTCTTTTGAAGACGGCCCAAGGCTCATCATTTCAATTGGGATATCCGTGATCTATTACAAAATATATAGTTTAACTTGTGGACTACAAGCATAAGAATTTACTAAAAGGGATAATTTCTCAGGAAAAAATACATATTATGATCTATAGAAGCAATTAAAAAAACCGCTAAGTAAGCGTACATTGTTACGCGAGTCGGAGAAGTTTCTGTGGCACTGAGAAGAAATTGGCCTAATACTATGGTTTATAACGACTGGTTCCTGTATTTCAATGCATGGATGATGACGAAATGTTCATGACGCGATAATACGTCTCTGCTGCCACTACCTGATTCACATATGTCTAGAATAATAAATACAGACAATATAAATATAAATTATAAATTATTTTAAATAATTTATGTGTATGTACAGATTCATTTAAAAAACTGTATATTCTTAGGCTAGCTAAAAGCAGACAAAGGAACGATAGAAAGTACCCATAAGTCCGACCTTGAGGAAGACATTTGCAAAACATTTTGTTTTAAACAGAGACCGACACAACGCATCAGTAGTGAAATGATGGAGATACACTATTTGTGGTGTCAAATGGATTTCGCTACCCCCTATAAATTCGATTCCATCAAACTCATCCACAGTGAATTTCCCTGACCCCAGGCAGGGAATTTTACCCAATATTGTTTGTGGGCGTATGAGGCACTGGGGCGAGGTGCAGGGTTGATGTTCCTTCAGAGTATAATCTAAGATCCTGGTACAGCCCATCCAGGCGTATAGTGTTTTTGCTTTGCTCGTCAAATCTGAGTATGTACCGTCTAATAGGCCTCCCAATATGGATCTTGTTCAATACTCCATTTCATCATCCAGTTCCGAGTCGTCGTCATCATCAACTCCAACAATTTCGTACTGCTGGTACTCGGACACAATATCACTGAGGCTTGATTCGGTCTCTTTGAACTCCAATTCATCCATACCTTCATTAAAATAAGAATGTAAATACACTCTTCGTTTTAACATCATGGTGAATTGCTCTGAAACTCGCCTTATAATTTCAGAAATAGCTGTATTATTTCCAATAAATGTTGCCGTTTTCTTAAAGTTTGGTGGCGCTATATTGCATACAGCTGTCTTAACGTTGTATGGAATCCAATCAACAAAGTAATTACTCTTTTTGTTTTGAACGCCTTGAATTTCCTGGTCTACTTCACAAACGGAAACATTCCCTCGATAAACAGCAGCGGCGCTCAGGTAGCGTCCGTGTCTTGGGTCACAGGCTGTCATCATATTACGGGCGTTAAATATTTGTTTCGTCAACATGGATACAGTATCTGCGTTATAAACGCGGTTGTCAAAGCACATAAGAGGAGCAAAACTTGTCATGAAAAAATGGAGACGTGGGAAAGGAATCATGTTGACGGCGAGTTTCCTTAGACCAGCATTTAGGGATCTACAAATGATCCCGTAGCCTACATGTTTGGATTTTTGTTCCTCGTCCACATCTTCAATATTTTAAAAAGTTTTGATTAACAAAGACATGTCTTTTCTTAATATCATTAATATCCTTGATATTACGTTTCATTAAATTGTTTTATGTCAAAATTTATATCCATTTTAAATAGCAATTAATTGCATTTTATTAGTTTTAACGATTTATCTTTTTATATTTTAAAGTTAAATTTTAATTTGTGTTTAAGATTCAAGATTAAAGAACTTTTATTGTCCGTTATAAGAAAATATACCGAAAATTGGTTTACTTGGCAAGATTAAAAAGTTTAAAATAAGTTACATAAACACATTACTCGTTTTTATTTTTTATTTATTTTTTTTTTTTTTTTGAGTGCAATAATTTGTTTTTGTTTTATTAGTGTTCATTGTTTTTGAATGCAATTCGTTAGTTTTGTAATTTTAATGTCTTTAACTATGGAATATACTATTAGGCCTAATTTTTTTAATATCAGGATTTGAATTGTTTTGAAATTGCTGTTAGAGTCGCCCTCTCAATAATTGTCGAAAAAATAAAATGTTGCCGTTTTCGTAAGTTTGGTGGCGCTATACCGGTATTGCATACGGTAGTCTTGGCGTTTTTTAAGGTAAGCGTAAAATCAATATTCAATTTCTATTGCTACTTAATTATTCAAGAACCTACAGTAGCGTCACCCATAAAACGCCTCCCGCGATGTTTGGGATCCAACAAAGCAACTGCTTCTCAGTAGGAAAGTACGGAAACTTATAGTGACCTTCCAGATGTTTAGATGACGAGATCCAGGATCTTTGACATCTGATCATTTTTTTCTAAATGATGTACACATGACGAGATCCAGGATCTCGTCATCCAATCATCTCTTCTAAAGGATGTACATATGACGAGATCCAGGATCTCGTCATCTAATCATCTCTTCTAAAGGATGTACACATGACGAGATTCAAGATCTCGTCATCTGATCATCTCTTCTAAAAGAATTAGGCATGACGAAATGAAGGATCTCGTAATCTAATCATCTCTTCTAAAGGATGTACACATGACGAGATGCGCACACGTGCGTCAAACTTTAAAAATGCTCGAAATCACTTTTTGAATAAATTAGAGCACGTTTCAGGCCATTTTGAGCATTCCAAATTTTTTAATTTTCCACTATGCGTGAACTTTTACTTGCGCAGCACGTATGGAAGCTAGAAATAGGTTCTTTTACATATTTTGGGTTCCTGAAATTGTTTTCACAAATTACCATTGTTTTTGGTCATCTTATGGCCATTAGCAATGTCGTACGTGCGCATCCTGTCTCTTATACACATCTAGATGTGTATAAGAGACAGTTTATAAGGTCCTTCATACTAAGATACATGTCGTGAGTGAGAAACAACAGGGAGGTGCTTAGTGACCTGCGCAGTTTAAAAACATGTGTTTGAACCTCTGAATGAGTAGTTTGCGTTTCTCCCCTACCATTGTTTGCTCCTTCTGACTGTACCATGTGTACAGTACTTAGATTTTTAAATTGAAATTTAAGTACTGTACTCAGCTTTTTGAAATTATCAACTTCAAATTCATCAAAGGTAAGCTGACAAATTATTTGAAATAATTATTTTGTGTGCTACTGGTAATGGTAATTAAAAATTTATGGACAAGCCCATGCAGATAAAAAGCAAACACTTCTGACAAGGATTATGGGTATAAATTCTGTGGCTCCAATCGTTGTAGAGTGAAGGTAAATCCACACCGAGTGAGAGTTTTCCAGACTAATTTAACAACACGATTTCCCATGTAAATCGGCCTATGTTCAAGATGTTGGGTATTCTAAAAACATACATTTCACAAATTTCCTCATCAGTTTTCCCCAAAAACATTCATACTTTTAATTTCCCAAGCTTTCTCCTCAATATATCACTGATTACAGACAAATATACTGAGAACTGAAGCTTCCGATAGCAACAAATGTTTTGTCCCCAAACACGATGGCATAAGATTACCGGTACTAGCTCTAACGAGTGGTCTAAAAAAAGGAACAGAAAATTTATAGATTTCTAAATGACATTCATCGCTTTAAAAGGACCGACGGTTGGTCGGCTTTTTATTCAGAAATATAATTTTTTTAAAAATTATTTCTGCCTCAACAGTGGTAATAGGAAACAATTCCTAATAATGTAATTATTATGCCTTTTTCGATAGGATCATGCATTCATGATGTGGATTTCCAAAGCAGTCCGACAAGTTACAGTTCACATTGGCACATTGCCAGCAATATGACGTCACTTGTAACACACGTAATATGGACGATGGAGAAAGAGATCGATGGTAAGAAATCCATTTTCTTTTGCTTTTGCTTTTTTGTTGTTGATGCTCTCGTTAGATGGTTTCATTCATTCAAGCTCTCGTTAGATGTTTATTGTGAGTTCATGATCTCGTTAGCTTACGTTGGGTGGTTTTTGTGTGTTTATGCTCCCATTAGATGGTTTTGTGCGTTTATTATTCTCAAAATGTAAATATGCGTAAAGTTCATAAACATTGTATTTAGTATCTATCTACTATACGCTACTACTGTATTACATCTATCCACATCTAAGGCAACTTTTAGGTTGTCTTAGATTCAGATATTGAATGTGTGGACAAATTAAAATACTATAGCGATGTATGTATGTAGGTGTGTGTGTGTGTGTGGAGGCTGTCTCTTATACAAGAAACACTTAATTAAAGAGGTAAAATTCATAACTTTATGGCAGTATAAAAATGTTTCTCATTTTATATCTACTAAGGATCAAACCCCTAAGGAGTACGGAAGTTCTGTTGTCTATCATTTTAAATGTTCAGGCTGCAATAGTGATTATATTGGTAAGACAGATAGGTGCTTAATAACTAGACTTAAAGAACATTCTTCGCGATCTGATAGTGTTATATTTGATCATGTTAAAAACTGTGAGGCATTCCAATATGTTTTAGGATTACAGGGTATACTTGAAAATGATAATGTCGTCTGTAATGTAAGTAATAAATTAGGTTTAATATTTTCTAGTACTAACATTATTGACAGCTCCCGAAACTGGTCTATCCTATTGTTTAAAGAAGCGTTCGCTATACATAGACTACACCCTTTGCTTAGCAATGGGCTCGGAGCTTCAAAAGAGCTTTCTTTGTTTTTGTAGGTATCTTTGATCATTAGAAAGTATAATAATACATACTCCAAGTATTGAAATACACGCCATCGTGTTGGGATTCAATATTTCGACATTAATTATGTCATCATAAGGAATGAAAAATTATCCATATTAGCAAAGCTTATATGCACTAGTACCAAAAATGTTTAACCAATCAAAAAATTACCTCTAGTAGGTGGCATAGCAGTGATTTAAACAAAAGATCAAACCCAAACCTAGAGGATTCGAGTTTTAGCCGGCAAAATATAGGCCTACACCAGGGGTTGGCATAAAAATCAGTCGGAAGGCCAAAGTGAATTTCTGATTTAACACCGAGGGGCCGCACCCAATCTTTCCCCAGTGCGCTTCTAAAAACCTCCAAGCACTGCTTTTACATCCCTTTATTCCCAGTTTTAATATTACTTTTTACATATGATCGGTGTCGGGCCGTAAAAAACAAGGTGTTTTCCGGCCAATGTTATTTGGCGGGCCGTACACATAGGGATTTAAATTCACATTCGCGGGCGGAAAAACATTCACTGTCTGGCCGCTCTTTGCCCACCTGTGGCCTACACTGTTTATCAAGATCAATATGGTTGGTTACTGTACCGTAATCAACGGTGTCGGACTTCTTATTTTTGCTATATAGAATCTATCAATGCTTAAATCTGCATTCAAATTGGAAATTATAATAGCGAGCTTGTATTTGAATGTAAATTCGAGCGAAATAAATGTGTGTACTGTACTTTGTTAAAGCTTGTATAGTTTTCTCAGGTTAAAGATGTCAAAAAATGATGTTTTGTATCAATTCAAAATTAGCATTTTATCCAAACCTTAATTCTGTACAATTTACATATAGAGAGGTATCAATAGGGCGAGATATTTTTGAACATCCTCAATTTTCTTATGCATTACACGTGTTTTTACCATGAGGTGTCGTCATAATAAAGTGACTCATCTAGGACTATCTCTCAATACGTTTTATTAATTTTAAAGTTTTCGATTCTTTGTTTTGTAGATAAATTCAGGGAATTATTCAATATTAAAAAGCTATTTTTCTTAACATATAATCCGTGCGAAAAAAAAGTGCGATGAGTTTCTTTCAAAGTGGTCTTCATTTTGGAAATTCACACAGTAAACAACAAGTCCACTCAAACTTTTGCCGTCCAGATGTTACACTGTGCGCCACACGTGACATCGTGTGGAAGTTTTAAATAATTTTTAAAATCGGTTATAAAGATTAACAACAATCATTATCTAGTTTATCTTTATATTATTTTACAGATTCGTTTAATATGGCAAGTTTGACAGGAATGCTTCTGGACGTTTCTGGATCAATGGCGGAGAATGCTGGTGAAGTACAGCAAGAAGGAGGGGAGTGGGTGAATTCAGTATTTGAAGTCATGGATAACCTTATCAAACACGACTTGTCTTCTGAGAGTGAAGTGTTTGCTGTTGGCGTGGGTGCAATGTTCAAATCTAAACTATTTGACGTGCTGAGAACAATAGAACCATTTAAGGATATAGCTGGTCGCAGTAATGTTTCGTATGATGATATTTTAGATGGTATATACTCAATCCTAGAAAGAAACGGAGCAAGTCAGGTACGCAAATGGGCACAAACTGATACTGTAGAGTCTGTAGTTTCACATGAAATGGCTTCAGCAGTGTTCAGTAAACTACAAGCCGAGACACAATTTGCAAAGAAAGTTGCCCAAGATTGTCTACCAGCAGCTTGTAGAGACTGGACGGAACCTGGAGACTTCGGACATTCTCTTAGTATTGGTGTTTCTTGGTTTTATGCATCTACAGTCACAAAATTTAAGCAGGCAACAAAAAAAGATATTGAAAAGGTGCAAGACAAGATATTTTCATTATTGATGAAAGACGTTGAATCAGAAAGTATTTTGTCAGCTAAAAAAGCATCGACCATTATTAATGGATGCATTGATGATCGCAGACAACTGGATTCACAAAGAATAAAAAAGTTGAAGGAAATTGTTAGGCCATTCATTTATGGCGACACGCCTTTGTTTGAGGCACTTCGTCAGGCAACGCCGTTATTTCGTAACGCAAAGTACAAAAAGAAGCTTTTATTCATCATATCAGACGGAATGCCAAACGATCGGGGGGACATTGAGACGATTAAAAGGGAGCTCAAAGAGGTTGGAGTTACTGTTGTAAGTTGCTATATTACAAGATCACGAAATATTGATCCGCGACACCTTTTTAATAAGTCCGACCAACTATGGGAAAATGGTGCTCAGTTTTTATTCAATCTGTCTTCAACCATCACAACACAATCAATCCCAAAAACAGTCTTCATAAAACAAGGTTGGAAAGTTGATTTCGAAAACAATGAAACCAGGTTGTTTCTGCAGGTTAACCATCCTGAACACATTAATGAAGTTTGTGATCTAGCGCGAAATGTTGTTTGTTCTCGGGAAGTGCTTTCCGATATGCTTACCTCGGTATCGCTGGATATTTACATCAATCAAAGCATAACCGGATTCAAAGCACAAGAAAAGCAAGTTGGGGGTACTTGCTATGCCCACGCATCAGCTGCGGTTCTTCACTTGTCTCTGAAGCGTATTCTTGGAAGGCGTGATGGTTATCCCGAATTTAAAACACTGCGGGATGAAATGGTTAGTCTTCATGGATCAGACGGAGCAGCTACATATGAAGTTCTGAAAACGATTTGTCCAAAGTACAATCTACATTGTGAAAAGGTTAAAGTTGTTGGTGCCTTGGAAGCGATCACTAAAAACAGACCAGTGGTTGCCATATTTCATCTTACTGATTCAGAATGGAAGATATTCGCTGAGTTCTACAGCAACAATTCAACTGGAATTCTCAGTAAAAGTGAACTGGACATACGAAGAAGACGTGGAAGTGAACAGTTGAGTGGACATGCAGTTGTTTTAACAGGCTTTAACAGTGAATGCCTGTATTTTATGAATTCGTGGGGAGATGACTGGGGAGATATGGGTTTCTTCAGAGTTCAAAGTGCCGATGTTCTGGACCTTAAATTCATCGATGTCTACTGGACCGAAGATGATCTACTTGACAGTGAAAAGCAATATCATCAACAACACGGAGCCCAAGTAGCAGCAGATTTGATTCGTAAATTGCAAGGATTGCAGCAAGCCAGATACACGTGCCCAAAGTGTAACACTGAATCTTTGGTTACTGAATTTATAGGTACATTAATAAATGCAACATGCCCATCTTGTAAACAAAGTTTTCCATGTGGAGAGTCCGGTAACATCCTAGCATTGAATATGTACCTTCTCTCTTTGACCCGATAGACTGCGAATTTTATAATCAATGCTGTAAAGTGCTGGACAATTAATGACATGCAGAACTTCTGGGGTATTAATAAAAACATAGGTTTACAATAATTAGTCATGCGAAAATAGCTATTTTAAGTGTGCATAGAAAATTAAGGATACTTTATAACAAAATATTCTGAGAAATTTAGTCACAATTATTCCATAACTTTTCTCCAAATTCCACACTTAATCTTTCAAACAACGGGGTCAATACTAATGATCCATAAAATCCATCTAGTATTCAATTTGATATTATTATTATTATTAAATGTATTTATTTTTAACATAGCCACAGATAGCTTTTATCGTACAAACAGTTGAAATATCGTTAGTAAAATTCAGAATCGCATTCCCCACTGTATATTACCAAATACAAAATCCGAATTCTAGGCTATACCTAAAGATTTAGAAATCTGCCGAACTATTTTAATGAGTGGCTTATATTGAATAATAGATTATTTAGGGTTCAAATCAGACGTAAAAATGAGTGAACACTGACGGAAGATTCTGAAAACCACAGATTCCATGTCACAACAGATCGCAACATTAATGCAGTTTAGCAACCAGTTCATCATGCCATCTTTTGCGACTGCTCCTCCTCTGATAACATTAAGAAGCGAACATGGATGGTTGGATGTCACTCACCATTTCTTCTAGTAGGTGAACAGTGATTGATCACTGTTATGTCACCTCTAAAGGTAATGTTTTGCTTAGTTTAACACTTTTGGTATTTGTGCATATAAACCTGTAAATATGAATGATTTTTTCATTACTGACGATGACATAATTAATTTCGAAATATTGAATCACAATACGATGGCGTGCAATTCAATACCTATCAGGCTATATAGATGTTACAGAAATTGAGCAGTTTATGTAATACGGTAGTGATATTGTTTATAGTGAGAATTGTGTTCTGCAGTAGTAAGGGAATTGTATATATTACTGTCCTTTCCCCAATTAACTGCACTTCTACAAGTCTTTACAAAATTGCATAGTAATTTATTAAACTAGCAATTTAGAAGCTGTTTTTGGCTTTTTAAAATTATTCTTGTTTTGACGCTGAAATAGCTTGTATCCGTTAAAGTGTGATGCTTGTAAAGAATTTTGTGCACAACTGTTAGAGTTGCCGTTTTTTTTTTTTTTTTTGTTTTTTTTTATTACATGTTTCAAAGCTACAACTTTAATATTGTTTATGAATGTTTTGAAAATATTTTAATTGTGCTTTCTCGTTTAAATGATATGACTTTAAATGATATGACTCTTTGCCTGTGTTAATAATAGGCCTACATCTTTATAATCGTTTAGAATTATCTCTAATGTTGTTTTAATATTTTAAATAGACATATTCAATGTTGTTTGCTAGATTTTTTCATCACATGAGCATTACTTTGATTTATATTTGTGATGTTATTTGTATAAAATGTATGTCTTCAATAACGTTCGAAGTCATCGTGTAAAGTAAAAGACTCATTAGATCATCCATGTTTTCATTAGTGCATTTGTGTAGGGCCTACTCTAGAAATTTGAGTTCCCTTACTTTGTACTGAACCGATAGTCCGAGGTGACATAATTATGGTAATATATACTAGTTTAGACTTGATGTCTGTTATCAATGCTTGGAGGAAACGTGTTCGGAATTTATACGCAAGAAGTCCACATAATTTATATTTCACCGACAGTGGTTATAAACGACAATAAAAGTTAGAAAGATATATAACACTTTGTTTGTTTTTTTTTATTTGAGTGCTTGGTAGGCCCTTTAAGTCTAGTATTTGTGCACCACAATTATTTCCAATGGGGTCCAGAAGCCAGGGGAATTATTGCACAGAAGAGAATATAGTCGGGTAAGTTGCAGATAGTGATTTATAAAATCAGGCAAGATTCGTTAAATTAAAAAAAAAAGAAATGTTGCGTTAAGCATATGAATACAATGCGCCCTCCAATTCGGGACTCCTCTAATTCTGAGACCCTTCAATTCGAAACCACTTTTCCAAAGACCAAAATAACAATCTTCAACCTTTTTAACACAAAACTAGCCCTCTAATTGGAGAACAACCCCGAGACCACCAAACAATTTCAGGTCCCGAGGGTGGTCTTGAATTGGAGGGCCAACTGTATATATAAAGTTTGAAAATTGCAAAAAATGTTAAAATTCATATTTTAAAACGACCATATTCAGCTCGTATAGGCCTATAATGTATAGGCCTATATTTCATAATGTTTAAGCACTAATGACGATAATGAAGATGACTCGTTCTGATTGGTAATCCGAGTTATTTTTCAAATGCATAAATAGGCCCTATACTTCACAATATTACTTTTGCTTGTACATATCTAGACATAGATTAGGCATAGGCCTATTATCTAATTACAGTCGATTCTGTTTCTTCTTTTGAAGACGGCCCATGGCTCATCATTTCAATTGGGATATCCGTGATCTATTACAAAATATATAGTTTAACTTGTGGACTACAAGCATAGGAATTTACTAAAAGGGATAATTTCTCAGGAAAATAATAAATATTATGATCTATAGAAGCAATTAAAAAACCGCTAAGTAAGCGTACATTGTTACGCGAGTCGGAGAAGATTCTGTGGCACTGAGAATAAATTGGCCTAATACTATGCTTTATAACGACTCGTTCCTGTATTTCAATGCATGAATGATGACGAAATGTTAATGACGCGATAATACGTCTCTGCTGCCACTACCTGATTCACATATTTCTAGAATAATAAATACAGACAATATAAATATAAATTATAAATTATTTTGGTATGTGTATGTACAGATTCATTTAAAAAACTGTATATTCTTAGGCTAGCTAAACGCAGACAAAGGAACGATAGAAAGTACCCATAAGACCGACCTTGAGGAAGACATTTGCAAAACATTTTGTTTTAAACAGAGACCGACACAACGCGTCAGTAGTGAAATGATGGAGATACACTATTTGTGGTGTCAAATGGATTTCGCTACCCCCTATAAATTCGATTCCATTAGACTCATCCACAGTGAATTTCCCCGACCCCAGGCAGGAAATTTTACCCAATATTGTTTGTGGGCGTATGAGGCACTGGGGCGAGGTGCAGGGTTGATGTTCCTTCTGAGTATAATCTAAGATCCTGGTACAGCCCATCCAGGCGTATAGTGTTTTTGCTTTGCTCGTCAAATCTGAGTATGTACCGTCTAATAGGCCTACCAATATGGATCTTGTTCAATACTCCATTTCATCATCCAGTTCCGAGTCGTCGTCATCATCAACTCCAACAATTTCGTACTGCTGGTACTCGGACACAATATCACTAAGACTTGATTCGGTCTCTTTGAACTCCAATTCATCCATACCTTCATTAAAATAAGAATGTAAATACACTCTTCGTTTAAACATCATGGTGAATTGCTCTGAAACTCGCCTTATAATTTCAGAAATAGCTGTATTATTTCCCATAAATGTTGCCGTTTTCTTAAAGTTTGGTGGCGCTATATTGCATACAGCAGTCTTAATGTTGTCTGGAATCCAATCAACAAAGTAATTACTCTTTTTGTTTTGAACGCCTTGAATTTCCTGGTCTACTTCACAAACGGAAACATTCCCTCGATAAACAGCAGCGGCGCTCAGGTAGCGTCCGTGTCTTGGGTCACAGGCTGTCATCATATTACGGGCGTTAAATATTTGTTTCGTCAACATGGATATAGTATCTGCGTTATAAACGCGGTTGTCAAAGCACATAAGAGGAGCAAAACTTGTCATGAAAAAATGGAGACGTGGGAAAGGAATCATGTTGACGGCGAGTTTCCTTAGACCAGCATTTAGCTGGCCCGGGAACCGTAAGCACGTAGTAACTCCACACATAGTATTTGCTATCAGCTGGTTCATTTGCGAGTATGTGGGTGACGTCAGCTTCAAAGTTCGAGTGCAGATTTCTGCAAGAGCTTGGTTGTCAATGCAGAACGTCATATCTGAGTGGTCTATCAATTGGTGCATAGATAATCCGCTGTTATAAGGTTCGACAATGGTAGCCGACGCACCAGGCGATGGCAGAACACTGTATGATGCCAACACTCTGTCTGGAAACTCTTCTTGTAGTTTACTCATCAGCAGGGTACCCAACCCCGAACCAGTTCCACCTCCAAGTGAATGTGTTATCTGGAAACCTTGAAGGCAATCACATGACTCAGCCTCACTCCGGACAACATCCATGACTTCATCAATAAGATCAGCTCCATCTGTATAAAATCCTTTGGCCCAGTTGTTCCCCGCACCATTCTGTGCAAATATGAAGTTTTCTGGTTTAAACAGAGACCCATAGTCACCCGATCTCGCCGCATCCATTGTACCAGGTTCAAGATCAACAAGGACAGCTCTTGGAGTAAATATGCCACGTGACTCTTCGTTGAAGTAGACATTAGCTCGACGTAGTTCCAGTTCGGAAGTTCCTTGATAGGTTCCAGTAGAACTGATTCCATGTTCCATCGTAACCTGTTCCCAGAACTACAGTTTCAGAAAAGAAAAAAAATACAGTTATTGCTAGTGTTAGATTGAAAAACGTGCACGTGATTAAGACGTATCGGTACGGTATTTCATATATATTACTACCAAAAAACATGATAAATTTATCTGGTTCCAAATTGATATTGTTTAGATAATTTTCCTTTTATGTTGAAAAATTACAGTCTGAAGATGTTGGCAGATTATGCTAAGGAAACTTTCATGATTCTCCATTTTTTGTTCAACATAGATATATTCTAAACAACTTACGAATCATCAAACATACGAGCTTAATTTGAATCGGATCCTCAGCCAGAAATATTAAGCGTACTAATACTAATAGAGCAAACGACCGTTTCCTGTGGTGTATCGCAATATTCATTCGTTTGTAATATTAATTTCATACAGTAAATGGTATTGTATCCAGTCGCGTATGTACGAGGGACAATGTTTCTTCCCCAAGCATTCCGTTCAACCAACGAATACCCGCTATGGAAAAATCCTTCTCTCAGCAGTGGCGTTGGCCTATCTAAGAGTCTTCAAAATGGGAGGAGGCTGGTGGTGGGGGCGAAGCCGAAGTGGGGACTCGAAGCTTTAGTGAGGGAAATGAAGGTGTTTTGTTAAGTACTTGAGCGTGATCTTTTTTGCCTTCAACATATTCGATGGGAGACGTAGGGGAAGAGGCATGTACATCCCCTAGATACGCCACACGTCTCTGAGAAGTATGTGTTCAGCATTCTTTTTCATTCCGACCCCGATCTTTAATTGACATTGGTAGTGCGTTAGTACTGAAATCTATCAAAAATGCTCTGGAATCACTTAACCATTTCTGTATTTTACTCAGGACCGGAAAAATTAACGATCTTTTTACTGTTAATTTTGATCGAGTGATTCACGTTATACTTGTCAAGGATGATGTAAATTTACACTTCAACAATTTCACGGAAGTATGAATTATCTTTAAAAATGAATGAAGGAAACACAGCAGAAGATGCACCAGGTTTGATGCCCTTGGGTTTTGAAATGTTTCCGCTGGATTGATTCTAAAATCAATTTACTATGAATAAAACCCAAATCATATTGACAAACCCTAACATTGCGTAGGCCCTGTTATGGGATATATCATTGGATGATTTGTGTAGTACACGGATGATGTGAATTGTCAGACACTTACGTGGAATAATTTGGTTACGATTTACATTACAGTACTGGTATTATCGCTATATGGTACGGTAGTAATCTACTTATGCCACTAAATACCTAATTAGTAGGCGAATTACGTATTTATTTTATCTTTTTTAGTATGAAAATTTGATAAACAATAGCTTACATGGAGAGACCAGATAGCCACATACATTTTAAAGGCTAGGAACACGATCTTTTAACGATAATAGATTAAACTTCAAACGTAGAGATACATTCAACAAAGGCAACTAATAGTAACACATTAGGCTTATACTGAAACTGATATTGTAACTTTAAGGCTAACGAGAAAAGAAAATTGACAAAGACAATCGTAATGATGTCAGATGTAGAGAACGAGATAAATAAATAAAAAAGAAGTACGTTTTTAATAGTGAGATAAAGAGAATAAAAAGTGACAAGAGAAACGCTAAATTTAAAGAAATTAAAATGATTCAATCAGGGAGCAGCCGTAGGCCTACTAATGTAATAAGACTGCTCCGTGGTTTAATAAAATTAAAAGGGTAATGTGAGGCATAGGTCCATAAAAATCGGTGTCCATAGAATCGTTACACAATCGCCGCAGCGTTTTTACTACAATCCTTGTACTGCGTGTCCCCGAAGTAGTCGGGAAGGTTCCCTCAAGCTTGGTACAGGTACAATACAGTCCCCGGCTCAACCGGGAACGCTCCTTGATCCAACTGACCAATCAGCGTCACCGAAGGAGTCTGCGATTTTTATGGAAGGCTTTATTCAACTGACCAATTAGGGCGGCCAAAGGAGTCGGCGATAGCGTGTAGCGATTTTTATGGAAATAAGGCTTAAACGTGCTATTTTTGCTTTGCTGCCAAATTAACATTGACGGCCGGTACACTTTTTCAAGAGGGGGGTGTCGACACTTTAGTACCCCATATTTCTGCCGCTGCCATTTCGTAAATTGCATTGTCTTTATTACTAAGTGTCTCACACAGAGACAAGTGCAATCTCAAGAAATTTGACGACGAAGTGTCCTGTCCTCAGCGAGGTCCGAACCAAGGGGCTACTAGAGCCTCGATCAGGGTCCTGGAAGAAAATATCCTGGTAGGGCTCAGGGGTAGAGTTTTCATGGCTTATTATGGCACAAAATTGTGCTTTTAATATTAGTGATTGGCAATCAAAATAACGTTTTGGATAGGCAAATTAATTGTTTTGACCCAACGATCTCGTTGTGGCGTCGGACGACGGGGGTGGGGCCCAGGTCTGACCGACGGGGAATAGAAAGATGACGAGAGTAGGGCGCGATTCAAGGTTTTGCATTGAATATTTTAAATTTTAAACAAACCATAATGTTATGATATGAAACTTGATATGAACATTCTAAAGTAAATATTGAACGCGAAAATGTAAACAAGTCTTGGGCCTATGTTGTAATTTATTGACGAACACCAACGATTACAATTCTCTTAAAATCATATTTTGAAATAATATAAATATATTGGCATCCCATGAACCACAAAGGGATTAAACTGTTTTTAATACCACACCAAGTGTGAAATAGGCAAGACAAAAATGGGGTAACCTGCTGCTGACCATTCAGAAAGTCGTCATCACCCAATATTCTCATGATAACGAAAAGATGATTTGCCACGCCCTTATTTTTATATTTTATTTATCATTGATTTTATAAAGAATAACACACACAAACACACAAAATAACGAATCAAACCATTAGTACAAAATAAACATTAAAAAACAGCATGATACTGGGAGGAGCAAAAGTGGAATTATCCAGATCTGCTCCACCTAAAAATCCCAGAATCCAGAATTAGTGAGGAAGGAGAGGGGTACAATGTCACCGCTGTGGCAATTTAGATATTCGAAAGAAGAATTATTTTAACGATTTTAGAATCTCTTTTGCTGCTGTAAAAATGGTATTTTCCTCCGACGAACTGTGTATTTTTTGTCTGTGTAGTTGGCAGTGGCGTAGAAAAGTATTTTTCATTGTGGGGGGGGGATGACTGTCTCTTATACACATCTAGATGTGTATAAGAGACAGCAAAACTGCCCCTCCCCTGACGGTTTTTACCGAGCTAACCAAGCCGTCGTACCGGGCTGTGTAATAAGAGGAAAGAAAGAGGAGAGAGGGAGGGAAAGAGAAAGAAGAGGAAAAGGAAAGAAAAAGACAAAGAGAAGAGAAAAATAAAGACAAGAATAAAAAGGAAGATATCATAATGACCAGACTCACAACACCCTGCAACCCCTTCTCCACTTCAAAAACTGCCATAACTCGTTTGATCTATGCTGCCCGATGGCGTAACCACTGGGGGACAAGGGGAAATATCTATCTTTGAAAAATCTTCCCCACCCCTTTATAAATGCCCTTTTCATCCCCTGAATGTGCCTAAAAAACCTCTTGTTAACATGGGCCAATTTCCTCTAAAAATTGCACATTTTAGGGAGTTTTGATCAATTCCAACGAAATTAGAATTAAAAACACCGGAGGACAAGGGAAAAATATCCATCTTTGGAAAATCCTTCCCCACCCCTTGACAAATGCATCCTCTGAAAGTGCCTAAAATTCTCAAATTTTGCGCGCATTTCTTGTTACGGTAGGCTAATTTCCTCTATAAATTGCACATTTTAGGGAGTTTTCATCAATTCCAACGAAATTAGAATTAAAAATACAAAAATATTTCGCATTTTTTAGGGCTTTTTTAGGTTTATTTAAGCACATAATAGTCCCAAACTCAAGAAAGACAAATGTAAGATAGATAGTTTTAACCTAAAAGAAGGGCCTCAATGTGTATTGATGGTGAAAGAATATGTTTGTAATAAATAAAACCATGATGAAAATGCTTATATTTAGTTTCAAACACACTTGTGTGGCCTATATTATAAATAACATAAGCCCTATGTCGTATTGTGGTCTTGGGGAGTGGGGTGGGGTGGACATTACTAACCGGGAAAATAAATACCAACTCTGACCCAGACCCCTGTTACGCGCCTGGTGTTAGCGCCAATGTGTGCCCTTGTGCGGACAGGGGATGTGCCCCCCCCCCCTCTGAAGCTGGAAACCTTGTTTTTGCAAAATAAATTGATGCAATTTGCTATTATAGACCTAATTAATAAATTCCTCATCAACCGATATAACCTTAAACATTCTTGGAATTGACATAACATTACTGATGTCGTACACACCCTTCAGTGTGAAATGTGCCTCTCTTTGCAAGCACATCTAACATCTAAGGAAAGAAGAGCTTAGATTGGTACCAGATAAAATAATTTTGATATCCACATTAATACATTATGCTAATTTTCATCTTTGTAAGCGCATAAGACTTTGCAACATATTTCTGTGACAGTCTTTTGAAGTGTGTAAAGCTCCATTTTATCCCATACATAGTCAAAATATTGGGGGGTGGGGTGATACAATGGACCATCCCCCTTGTCATTTCCCCCCCCCCGGGATCTACGCCTATGGTAGTTAGGGTAGGTGGTCTTGGCGCCACCACTGTTTTTGGTTAGTAGTAGACCTACATAATTTTAGATAGTAGATGGCCGCCCCAGGACCCATGGTCAAACCTAAATTGATTTTTCGCCACTAGTAAAGTTTTGCCATGGCCCAGGCAATACCGTAGCCAGGGAGACTGTTGGGATAGTTGTACACAATTGTTTTAATGGGTCGGCAAAGAATGGGTCCACATTTTTAAAGATGGATCCAAATTATGCAATTTTATGCATAAAATGAGTTCACTTTTTGAAAATTTGGAACAGATTTCTCATATTTAACCTAAAAGGTGTAAAATTTTAAGAAAAAAGGGTCCAGATTTTTCATATTTTTGCATAAAATGTGTTAACTTTAAAAAAAATGTGTCCACGTTATGAATTTTCGAGTAAAGTTGGTCCACCCTGATATTGTCCCGAGCTGTTTGAAAATCTTGGCTACGGCATTGGACCCAGGGGTTTATTATAATAGGACTACACGTCATCACATGAAGTGCATAGAATTTGATTGGAAAAAATAAGGATACCGGTTAAGAATAGCTCCTACATCATTACCATTTTTAACATTTACGAAGAGTAGATTGAATAAAATTCATGCATCACTAAACAGACTGTGAAAATGCTATTATCATTTTGCTAGCCCCATCGTCGTGAAATATTTCTTGAACGCATGCAGTATCGAGCAGACAAGCCATCTCAAAGACTAGTTTAAGATCTGTCTCTTATACACATCTAGATGTGTATAAGAGACAGCACACAAACACACAAAATAACGAATCAAACCATTAGTACAAAATAAACATTATGCATCTTACGCTTGTCAAATCGGATAATTTATTCACGTCGAATATTAATAATCCATCTTCCCCTCTTGAAACGTTTCATTTATTTCATAATATTCTTCACGGTCTGTCAACTTTAATATGTATCCTATCATGACAATATTTTTAACATGTTGTCAACTAATACCGTAGAATCCCTCCTTTAGGACACCTCATTCTGGGTACGCTCCTATTAAGGTTTTCAGCGAAACAAAGGGAAATACAGTATATCTTTTAAAACTATACGACCATCCCCTATTAAGGTGACACCCCTATTAAGGGGACGGGGACACTCTCTGAATGTGCCAAATGGTAAAATCGATACATTTCAACCCATTAAGGAGACACTCTTTTATTGTATCACTAATTTTTTTATCACTGCAACTACAATACATTATACTAAAAATAACAATATTAAATTTCAAATTATATTTTTTGAGCGATGAAATGAACATTTTCCTGATCCTTAAAAATGGATATTGGTAGTTTTAGGCCCCTACTGTGCGTGTTACTTTGTATAAATTGGTCATGGGATTTATCTTTATTTCTGCGTAATGTACTTTCATATAACATAAAACGAATCCGAATAAAGAGAGGGGCGTTCGTTCTATGTTATTAAACATATTCAGTGCCTCTGTTGGCTTTCATAAGATTTGACTCGTTAATCATGGGATTTAATGTTTTTCCTTGTGTAATTTCTTACAGGATTCAAATCCATACTGTAACTCTAACACTGGCTTCTAAGTTATTACATCTTTTGTTGCTTAATTACATTTATTTTTATTTCATCATAAATATATTGTCTTTGCATTGCTAAATTATTGTTACAATTTAGATAGTATCTATGTCCTCATTGTATGACTAAGTGCCAAAACCCATATTAAGGGGACAATTTCACGTTTATTGGTTAGTATCTCCTTAATATGTGGTTCCCCTGAATCACCCCTATTAAGGGGCACCTTTTTGGTCCCGTATGCCCTTAATAGCGTTCTACTGTATAAAAGCTAAAATATGTACCTAGAGGTTTTGCCGAATGTTCACCTGTGATAGAGCCGGCGGCTATTGATTTTTGCTGTCACTATAGGCCTCTTTCAAACTATTAATAGGCCTATTCTTTGTTTTCCTTTAAGTTTTATCAGTAAACTCGGACAGAGAGTCTAAATAGCATCATTGCTAAAGGGTTGCGCACCAGCTCCCCCCCCTTTTTCGAGATAGCGCCACCTCTCTGAATAGTATAGTACATTGACCGCCAAAGAGGTGACAGGATAACCATACAGAAAATAGAACTTGGGATTACACCTTCATTCACACTGTACTACCTATCATGGAATTAATCTACTAATAATCTTTCATTACAAAATACCATGAGAGATAAAAAATGTGCTTGGCCTCAATATGAAAATCTTGGGTTCGAATGTCGCTGGCGACAACATACACACGTTTTCTATAAAAAAAAAATGTTGTATCTTTGTAATACCACTAGCTGAGGTATTTCTCTCATGATACTAAAGTTACTACGTACCTGGGATTTATCTACTAATAACAGGGGCGGATCCAGAAATGTCCAAAAGGGGGGCCCGGAAGTTGGGCCGATTGAGACAACACTGTCGTAGGGGGTCCGGGGCATGCCCCTGCGAAATTGTTATGTTCTAGACGCCCGAACATAACATTTGAGGCATTCTTGGCTACCATTTTTTTCTTTTTCTCTTTTTTTTCCCTTTTTTTTTCTTTTTTTACCTCCCAAAAGGGGCCGGGGCCGGGACGCCCCCCCCCCCTAAATCCGCCCCTGAATAATTGCGTACTTTATGTTATACGGTACATTGTGGCAAAAAACTAGAGAATAGCGTCTGGATACCGACAATACGAAGGCCGTGTATGGGCGATTCCATTATTTTATTTTTTGCTCGAGGGTAAATTCAAAGGGGGTGGGGGATGAATTTCCGTGACCTTGACGTTGTCCTTTGATTTTTATTTCTTTCCGAAAGTTAATCATCTTTTTCTTAGAGATTATTATGTACCATTCCACTAAATTATATGATGATCCATTCCTTACTTTTTGCATAATCTTGCTTACAGACAGACAGACTGACAAAATGACAAGGCTGAATACATTAAACTCCTCGTATTGGCGAAGGTAGAAAATCACGTGTTCTAAAACCCTGTACAGACTATCAAATTTTGTTTGACAGAAACATGTGACTTTTGCCTAAATATGGTCATGATGACATCACATCATGGCCATATATAGGCACATCATGACTATATATGGGCACATCATGGCCATATATAGGCACACCATGACTAGATATGGGCACATCATGGCCATATATAGGCACACCATGACTATATTATATAGGCACATCATGACTATATATGGGCATAAAGAAAATATGATAGTCTGGACAGAGCTTTATTAGAAGATATAGAAAATATATTAGCTTGATAGCTTTAGGCCTATATAGTTTGCAGATCGCCTGACAGTAATATGAAAGTCTTCAGTTCGAATCCTGTTGGTATTAGGTACCATGTTATCCTAATAAAAATAAAATAACTATCTACTACCATAATGCATCGTCAAATGTTACCGTTTGATCTTTAAATATAACATTCGTTCAAATACAATTATGGTTATTTTATTCAAGAGGTAAAGCAAAATGAATACTAACATACTAAAATATTTACAATTTATTTCATTCATCATTTGCTATGATATTATAGTCTTTCTTGTCGTCAAAGACAATATAATATTTAAAGGTTTTAAAAAACCATTCAGAAAGGTTGAATACAGGCTTTAATGCTAAATAACTATTACAAAATTATAGTATACTATTTTGAAAAGTTTATCTGACCATAAATATACGGTACCTCAAATTGTCATATAAAAGTAGAGTCTATGCACTATAAAATGGTAGACTGTGAATAATGTTAACGTTATTATAAATACAATTTATGTATATAATGTTAAAATGATTTTTCTTTCCATTATTTTAGCATAAACAAAATTTTTTTTAATTATTTTTTTTTTTTTTTCAAAACTTTTTGTTGTACTGTACCTTTTGTAAATGTGTATTGGTCGAATAAATAAATGAAATGAATAAAAACGTCAGATAATTCCAGCTGATGAAACAGGGCAATAATTCGGCACGTGACTGGCTTAAGAATCATTTTATTTTCATTCAGAAAATTCGTTGAACATAATGAAATATAAGCATCTAACTGCTTCCAGAATTACTATAAACCAAAGATGGTATCAGTCTACAATGGACGTTCCCGCTAAGGCCTGCCTTTGGACATGGTACCTAAGGTCCCACAAATCGTAATTCGCGAATATAAATTTGCGGAACCATGGACCGATTATGGTCGAACATATGTATAACCTTTGGCTCAGCCTCTCGAATAACAACACGTTAAGATTGGTCAGATTGTTGGGTTTGCCTGACACTGTCAAAAGGTCTGTTGAACCATAAAAAACATTATAAACTGTAAACTCTGTATATAAAATGAATAATGATTAAAAAAAATTATAATAATATAAATCATAATATGTTAGGCCTACTACATAGTGTTTACAAACAACCGTAAACATATAATAGAATTTCAGTGTTTATCCCTTTGATATTACATTTCATAAAAATAAATTTAACTTTAAAAAATTCTCTTAAATTCTTTCGTATAATAAGCTACATTGCTGTCTGTCATAACGACAATTATCATAATAACGGACAATAATAACAGACAAGCACGTATTCTTTGTAGAGTTTGACATTCTGAAAAGATCTATTAGGGAAGCCACAGGGCACTTAAGTGAGGATGGGTTAGAGATGCATGGGGAAGAGGCATGAAATGAGGTAGGGATATTATGTATTACATACATTTGATTGGCATTATACCAATGCACTCTCACTAGGTGATGACATGCAAATATACATTGTACTTAAATACTTCTCACTATTTATATTTATAATAAACAGTACAATTAAGATTGTAAGGTATAAATTTTGTATCATTTTAAAATCATTAATTATATTTATGGGCAGCGGCCGGTACGCATTGAGACAGCGTTAGATACTGGGCCCCATCCTTTGATGGTACTTGCTTTCATCTTGAAATAATATCTTGTACTGCCAACTAATCCGTGGAGCGTGCGGGTCAGATCGCCACCATCAGTGACTTGCACAACCCAATCTTCATCTTCCAGATTTGGGTTGATACTATACATAATTATATAGGCTGCGTAAAATTGAAAAAAAAATTAATAAGATTCAATAAGTTATTTTATAATCGTATCTACATATTAATAATACACAAACACACACATACATATACATTAAAGTAATACGCAATCACTGCCTGTGGCTTACTTTGGTGTCAGGTTCTGGAGTAAGCACACAGTATTGCCCAATGATCGAATGATTTTTAACTCTACATTTTAACAAATTCCTTGGTTGGTGGGCTAAATTTACATATAATAAGGTAAATTTGTATAAATTTTCGAATTTTCTTTAATTATAAAAAGCAAATCAAATGATCTTGATAAGCCATTATACTTAGATGCACTTTAATGTATTTATCTATGACCAACCAAAATAAAAGGTGAATTGAATACATAGGCCTTTGTAAAATAATGATAAACATACTGAATGATTATTATGTCATAGCTAATTGTAAAACAAATTAAAATTGACATTAAAATAAATTTAAGATCAATTTTAATTAGATAGATTTTAAAGCATGAAATACTCTATACTGCAGCAGTACACTTTAAAAACAGCGTGGAGGATTTATACACAAAGCTCCACGCAATGGTGTCCTGCCTTTGGTGACATGTTTAAAAGCTAAACTTGTTTACGCCCAACCTAAAGGTTTCTGAAGTGTTACCATTAAATGTGCTTAAGTATTTGAAATGATGTCACATAAGCACATTTAACTCTAAACATGTCAAGATCCTAAGCACATTAAGATATATCTAAACATGTTTAGCTTTTATACGCGTCACCAAAGACGGGACAGCATTGCATGAACCTCTGTGTTTAAATCCGCCATGCTGTTTTTAAAGTGTAGATTCAGAAATTGTGATGTTGCATTTAAGTTGGCTGCGTTCTCTGCGGGTAGACCAACCACACTTTTTTTTCCTTTATCATGATACAATCCACTTAGCCCACAGGCACCGTGGTCTTCTTACCGTTTATTATTCCATTGGGTTTAGCAGGGGGGAGCCAGTTCACCGTAATGGCATCACAACCATGTTCAGATAAAACCAGGGTTGGATCACTTGGTGGTGAGCTTGGAACTGCAATAAACAGCACATAAAAATAAATTAATAATTGTTCTTGCAATGATTGAACACTCTCATTTGAAATACAGTAGAATCCTATTAAGGGGACATTTTTGGACCAAAAATGTGCCACCTTAATAGGGGTGTCCTCTGAATAGGAATTGTCCGTAGTGTTAAAATATATAATTTCCCTTCTTAGGTGTCAAAAAAAGTGTCTTTTTAATAAGGGTGTCCCAAAGGAGGGGTTCTACTGTATTCTATCTTCTATCCAAGAGATTGGCTTTGTGTATTATATTGATAAACAAAAACATTTACCATCTTGAGATGTTTTGTTAAAGGCAACAATACTGTATGGACTAGAGCCATCCACCGTTGTTCTCTTCACACTGATCTCATACACTGCATATGGCTTCAGATCAGTTAACACTAAACTTGTTTCACTTGTATTTATTAATCTTGATAAAAATTAAAAAAATAAAACAATTTAAAACTCAGTTGTGGTAGCTAATGTATACAACATGCTGATGAATACAACGTAAAAAAGTTCATCATATTTTCCAATATGGTTATTTTCCTGCTTTTGTAACTGTTTTCGTCTATTTACCTTGCATGTTCCTTTATAAGGTCACAACCTAGGTTTTGTATGTTTTCCTTTGTTTTGTTTCAAAATAAAGTGATTTTTTATATAATTATACTACCTTTTAATAAAATTCAGATATTGCAATAAAATAAACATGAATACTGCCCTCTATACATTAAAATACAGGGCAGCGTCTCTTCTTTTTGTATCAGAATTTTACCTTATTTTTTGTGGATATGATGGTGTATACCTAACAGTATACATCACTTTACCATCAACATCGTCTGGTGCCATAAATGACACCGTCATCGTGGTAGCACCTGTAGTCTGCGCCTTAACAAAAAATGGGGGGAGGAGTTCCATATTGTCACTAACTGAAAATGACAAAATAAATAGCATAAATTAATAAACATTTTATGTAAATTAATCTATTTTAATATGTTTTCTTCAAAGATATACTCCCACAAAAAGCTGATTTTGAAAATATAAATAAATTAAGTGCATACTTTATATTTTTCAAATTATAATTAATATATTAATTATTAACTTTCAACTCAAACTAGAACATAAAATAAAAATTACTTGTATTGTTTGAATTTTATCAGCAAAATTACCTCTTAGTTAACAATTTAACTGCATTATATTTATTTTTTGGGAATAAAGTGTGTGGATTTGGATGGTGGTGAAGGGGGAGGGGGTGGGGAACTGAACAGGCTTTACTCCTCTAAAATTCTACCAATATGCATGATAGAGTGAAATAATAGCCTACTATGTTGGCCAAAATTAAAACTTCCATTTAAGCACTATAAAAATATTACTTTATCAATGACACCAGCGTAATGAGACACGTTCCATACACCCATGGTAGGTTTTGATTAAAACCACCTGAAATTGTTGATAGGCCCAGCTAATCCAGGATCCACCGCTGCACTATAGATGTCAACTAATATGAGGGAATTACCTTTGTCTGTATCTGGTATATTCACAATTTCATACAATGGTTTGCCCTCTCCTGCTTTGTTGATAGCTCTCAACTTGATGACGTAATCTGTCAAAGGTTGGACGTCAACAATTGTGTACGAGAGCTTGTCGCTATCTAGCATTACTACAACATTGTCAGGGACGTTCTCCCCAAAGCCAAGCTTATATCCACGGACTACGGTGCCTTGTTCGCTATCTGGTGGTTCCCACATGACATGGATGGCGTCTGGTTGTGCGATAACTGTCAATGATTTGACTTCAGGAGGTACACGTGATTCATCTATAGAAGACAGGAAAATAATATTGACAGAGGGCGCTGCTGTATAAATATCATTACATTGCACTTGATTAGAATTACACAATGTTATCAAAATAATTCTGATAAAATATACATTAGTGTTACATTACATTACATTAGTGTTACAGAATATACATGAGGCTTGCCAGCCCAAACCCAGTATCAGTGACCAAATAATGAATATTGAAAATTATAAATTTACTGGAATTGACATACTATTGCCAAAGTTTATGATTAAGCATATTATTGCTTCTCTGTACTAAAGTATAGACTGCCACATTGTTATGTTAAGTACTCAGTTTAACAATTAACAACAGTACTCTTGTTTTTTTTTAATGGTAAGCCTCATATTTTTAGAACAGCGCCCTCTGTATAAATATATCATCACTTAAATGTAATAGTTTTTATTTTTTTAATATATAAAATTTATACATGTTATGTTATGTTTTCTTAAATCTAATAATAAAAACATTCTTAGAGTGAGTTGTGGTATTCCTTTGTATTTTCTTTCTTATACTGTAATATTAAAATAATTACACATAAATTATTTATATATTGTTATAAATTACAATGTAATAAACCACAAACCTGGCAATCTAGTGACCTGAATCTCAGCAGCTGCATAATCAGTTTCTACAGTTCTATCTATCGGGCTTCTTATTTCACAGATGTAAGTGGACGAGTCGTCCGTATCCACATTATTAATAGTCAACACTTCACCTCCGTCACTCAGTATATACTTATCATTTGCAACAATATCGTAACTCAGTCGCTTCCAACTGATCTCTGGTTTAGGAACACCATCGGCACGACATCTAAGAGTAACGTCACTTCCTTCTGTCGTTTCTACATTCTCGGGTTTCTCAATGAAGGTAGGGGGGACAAGAACTGTAACTTGAGCATCTGCAGTGATGCGCCCCGCCCAGTTCTCGGCAACGCAGGTGTATTTACCTGCATCTTCTTTCACAGTGCTGCTAACAAAAAAGACACCTTCCATCTGTGTTTCAAGTAAACGCCCTTCTATCACAGCAGCTACTGAGCTATTATCATCTGAAATAATTAAGTCTTTTTTTATATGCAAAACAAAAAGTTAAATATGATTTTAGAGAGTATAATGTATCATAGTTTCTTAGGTAGAAACCCACCTCAAGTATACAGTAAGGCCCTCCTTATCTTCTGAAAAATTTTCATGTAAAACGCTCTACCCAGATATAATCCCATGTTTGGGACAAAGCATATTTCATGCCAACTTTGCTGGCATCCAATGTGCGAGACAATAAAATTGTATATAGCGCCCTATGTGTAAAAACCACGAAATAGAACACCATCTATGTTATTTCTTTTTTCATTAGAGTCATTGGTCAGTAAAGCTTTGTTAAAATAAATTTATACGGCCTGTGTTCACATTTTAATGGCAAATTTAGGGGATAATCAGTCTATACATTTTATCTCTTACAAAATTGTTATGATGCGTCAGAGTTGGCAGGTGTAAAAGTATGAAACAAATTGAAATTAAGCATCAACTTGCTAGCCAGACCTAGCCCTGGGTTACATAGGCCCACAAGCCTTCTTTGTGAAGACTAGGCTGGAACTAGCCTAGTTTTATGCCTGCAGTCTTACAGTCAATCTGTTTGTACTTTCTGTTTCTGTGTACTAACCAACCTTCATATTTGACCCAATTTTGTATTCAAGAATGTGGGTACCAATTGAACTATATTCATTATTATATTTGTTATATTAATTACCTTTCAACCAGGAAATGACCGGCTTAGGGTAACCATAGACAGCACAAACTAAGAAAGTAGGACTACCAACCCGTGCTGTGGCGTTTCTTGGTTTGGACAGAAATTCTGGTTCCTCTACAAGAAAAAGATAATTAAATTCTAAATATACAATGAATTCAACGAGATAGTAATCTCAATTTGCATAACAAAGATATTTTTACAATATGAACATTTTTAACTATCAGATTGATAATTTTGCCAATATAATTTTTAACATCATCCTGAAATATCTTCAGTATATTAATATGTATATATATATTGTAGATCATACTAATTATTATAATATATATACCGTAAAATCTCGAATTGAAGCCCAATGGGCTTAATCTCGTGAAGAAGCCCATCTCGAATTGAAGACCCCTTTAGTTTGAAAATTTAGCCTCGAGAAGAAGCTCATCTCGTAATAATATATATATATATATATATTTATGTGTGTGTGTGTGTGTGTGTGTGTATGTGTGTATTTATACACATCTAGATGTGTATAAGAGACAGTAAGTGGACGAGTCGTCCGTATCCATATTAGTATCAATTAAAATCAAACATACTTCTGGTAACTACATGTCTTTGATACACTACGTCTTCTGGAGACTGAAATTGGTAGTGGACTTCAAAAATACCAGAGTCAGTATTAGGTCCTGTATAGAACACATTAAGCTGCTGCTGTGTGGAGGTAACAATAATTGGAAGATCCAGGTTTGTTTGACTGAATATGGATGCCATCTTTCGTGTCCTTGGTAACGCTTGATCAAAAGTCTGCACCACCATTGATTCACGGATCAAGAATTTAGTTGGCAGTGAATTATTTGCGTTTTGTGGTAAGAAGTCTAATCGTGTTATGTTTATTGTAACCTTCTTGTTTGGAGGTGCTGTAAAGCGATAGCGACAGCGATCAAATGATTTCTCGATGAATTGCCTGATGGTACCAGATGGGGGAGACACTGCAGAAACTACAAATCCACAATCTGTTGGAAGATAACACATTTTTTAGGGCTGTAGTGTAGGAAACTAACTGGGGTGGGTGGTAGACATTCTATAGGTGAGGGAGTGGTAACATTGGTATAATTAAAGGGATTTTAAAAATGGGCAAGAGGATTAATAAAAGTGGGTGGCGGGCCATGGAATCAGATTTAGACTAAGTGGAAAACTTCAAGGCTGAGTGCCCCACCTACAATAACTATATCCCTGATTTGTTTTTTTCTTATGTGGAGGTAACCCACTTTTATTCGTCCTTTTAATTCATCATTTTTTCATATAAATAAACACATATTGTACAATGTATACAATGACATTGTGTAATAATAATAATTTTAAAAAATATCATCATATTTCTTGAACGTAAACCAAAAACAAATACAAAAATTATGTAAACTGAAATCACTGAACAATATATTTATATGTATCGTTTCAGAATAAATATCAAAACAATATTAAACAAGATCCCTGGTCTTAATATAGTTTTAAATACAACAAATTCTGCCTTTAAGCAATTAAGTTTTAGTATTAGAAAGTTTAATTTTCTCATGGTAATTTGCAATGCTTCAACACCATTTGTAAAGTTTAATCTCAATGAATGGATGTGGACACCTGCAAACAAGTCCTCAATTCATTATCATATATAATGACTGCACATGGGAACAACAACTTATTAACACTAGAGTATCTTTGAAAATCTCACAATACCTCTACCTGAGATAAGTACACCATTATACATTGAAACTTGGGATTTCTTCACACATTATCACTTTGAGACACAAAGGAATTAATTATAAGTAGAATCCAACTGGGGACCACTTGTTTCAACCCTGATTCTTATACAAACTACTCACCTTCAGGATATGAGACAATGTTTGAGGGCGGGCTTTCATTTGTTAACAATGTTGCTGTAACTTGGAAGTAATATTTGGCTGATGGATCAGGCAGGGTGATTGGCCCACTGTAATCCGTCTTCGTCCATTCTTCAATCGGTAAAGTTTTGTTTTTTGTATAGTAGACACTGCCAACTATGATTTTAAAAGAGTATTAGAAATATGAACGACAAGTAATAATAACCATCTAATAATAATATTACATTGCAAAAATATTTTTTATATAAACATATATATAAATTAATATTTTAATTGCTTAGTTTTATTTAGTTATTGTCTTTCAAAAAAGTCACAAGAAGATAGAATATTCCTTACTGATTAAATTTTTTTATATTTTTAAAAGTTTTTTGGATGGCAAATTTAAATGTTAGCTTTTAACATATTTCAATGCAGGTTGAAACATTTAAATAATGCCATTCTAATAGTATTTGCTTATATGTTTGTAATTTTGCCAGCAGATATATAAATTTCTGTAGTAAAAAATATAGAACATTGGTTTTTTTTACCTTTTACATATTGAAAGTTGATAATAATGTACATCTTTGAAATGAGCAGCTAAAAAGTTTTATATTTTTTTTAAAGTTTTTGGGTGGCAAAGTTAAATATTAACTTTTAACACATAATTAATACTGTTTTTGATTTTTTTTTAACAGAGCCAAGTAGACTGGCAGATTAAGGAATATTCAAAGTGAAAATTTTGTAAATCAATAAAATTTAACCAGAATTTTACATAAACAGTATATACTTAATTGAAATTTAAATATTTCTTAAAATATGTACATGTTTATGCAAACCAGTTATTGTACATACATTCGCCAGTCCCTTTTCTTGCAACAAGTCTCACTGCATTGTTTTCAAGCCCCACTACACGCAGTAAAACAGGAGCTGTAATGAAATGACATAAGGGTAACAATCTTACACATCTTCAAAACACATTTTTGAGACTTTCCGACACTGTACCAGAGGGCGCTTCATCATACTATAATGGCCGATTCTCAAAAACTTTATTAAACGCTCTGAATTTTTCAAAAAAGTTTGAATATTCAAAAATTTCTTGGTTGTTTTTGCTGAAGAAATAATCCACATAATAAAAACATGAAGGCAGAAAATTATCTGGGGGAAAAATGTTTTCCCTGTGGACGCATAAATTTGGCACAGGCAGTTAAGTTGTAGAAACTACTGCACCACTCACTGAATGAAATAGCAACAATAGTGAAATGTTATTACCATATATTAATATTTATTTTATAGTAAAAAGAATTGCCGGTACCTTCCACAGGTAATGCCAGCAAACTGTCAATTCCATCTGTCGTGTTCATTACAGATATGCTATGGGGACTTCTGGCTTTTCGCTTTGAAACCATCACAACAAACACATACGTTGTCATTGGTTGGAGTCCCTGTATCAATACAAATTCCTCATTTTCAACCTGAATTTCTTGATTCCTAAAAAATATAACAACCACTAATTTTTAGTAATAATATGAAAACAATAAATAATTATCACATTTTTATATGTTTACTTTTTTTAAATTTTATTGCAGTTCAATTTTTTTTCTGTGTTTTTTCTTGTGCTATATCATAATTATTCTAATGTATCTGTTTTTTAATAATTCAATTAATAATAAATAATAGCAAATAATAATAATAAAAATAATAAATATTTATCACATTTGTATATGTTTTCTATTTATGAATCTTATTTATGAATCTTATTATAGTCCAGTAAGTTTGTTTTTTTTCGCTTATTAATATAACGCAATTTTTAGTTCTTAGTATAATGTTATATTCGGCAATTCATATTCAAACATTTTTATTGTTTCTATTTGCATGTATGTGAAATTTTGAAATACAATATACCATGAGAATGAATGAATGAAAAAGAAATAGTTACTATGGACTATAGAGTTGCAAAGGCAACAAGGTTCATGGGAAGGGGGTGTTTCCTGTTAGGCCAACTTCAACTCAGAAGTGTTTCTTTAAAAAACAAAGTTTATGATTGAATACTACAACAGCAGTACACTGGTCAAAAAGGTGGGGGGGGTGGTGTTCAGTCAAACTCCAACTCCCCTTCCCTAGTTACAGGACTGGTGCACTATAGATTTTGACATTGCATATATTCCTGTATTAAAAAAGACTAAATATATTTTTCACATAAATTACTTCTTTACTATTAATATTTTTTTCTGGCAGTGTACACTGCATGAAAATGTTAGTTTCCTCATATACCATATACAAATACCTTGATGCAAAAAAATGAAAAAAAAGATTGATAGCTCTTACTCTCCAAGCTCTCCCAAGTCCATTTGCTCCGGAACAACTTTGTAGATGATTGTGTAGGTTACTTTTCCTGAAAGTTCATTCGGATCTTTCCATGAAACACGGATGCTGAATGGAGAGACTGTCTCAGCTATGACATTTATTGGTGCCAGTAACTCCCTTCGTTTTCCATCAACGCTGTTAGTTATACAAAAGATAATTACCGTATATGATTACTTTCAATTATAAACTGAAGTGAACATAGATATAATTATATGTAATGTAATTTAATTAGATTTATATGCACTTTATAGCAAAGTATATCAGTTGCTCTCAATTCTGTATAATTATTTTTTTAAATCATGTTTTATTTTTTTAACACTTCATCTTTGTTGTTCCTTGGTGACACCACCCTGCATGTACTTGATAAAGCCATGACCTCTGGGTTTTATGCTAATTCTTTTTATTGTTTCTTGAATAAAGAAGGATTTGATATTATTTATTAATTAAATAGATATAATTATTTAATTTTAAAATATAAATAAACAAATGTAAATAAATATATAAAGTTTGTGTTTTATTTTTATCTTTTTAATATATATTTAATATAAATATTTAATTTCTTGGAATTAATATAAGAAAAATAATAGGTCAGTTTATAAAACAATTTCTGTTTCTATCTATAGTACTGTCCTCTGGCCTGTCCTATCCCCTTCCGTTAGGGAATGTGTGCTGGTGCTTAGCTTTTCCCGACAGGGCTTGGTCCATTGTTCCCCAGCAGACTGACCAGAGTCAAATACCGACTCAGCCCCGCCCGTGTTTCAATATTCCCGGACAGATTTCACCATGGTTTCCCGATTGCTGGGCCGGCCCACCAGTTGAAGCCACTGTCCCTGCATCCACTTCATATTAGCCCAAACATTCCTCCCATCCATCCTCAAGAATTTTTTTGTAGGCTCAGTGGATCTAGAATTCTTGAAATGGGGGTGCTGATGGAGGGAGGGGGTGGCTCGATTGTCAGTTGAGGGGCGCAAATTCACAAAATAAGGTGATGAGGTGAATTTTAACTACTTGACCGTGATATTTTGGGAGGGGGAAAGCCAATTGGGGACGCGATTTCGGAGGGGAGTGCTGTAAATTTTACATCGAACATGATAAAACCAGGGAGTTATTAATAACAACTCCCTGATAAAACCATGAAGGTACTTTTAAATAAAAGAAATCAAGGTAACATAATATAAGTCGTTACAAAGAGTTTTTTGTGTGAATTGATTGAAATCATCGCACCTTGACGAGAATGTGCTGATTGTCTGAAGTTCTAGCTAACAGGTAAAAAAAACAAAACAAAACAAAACAAAAAACTAATTGAAACACGATACATAGGCCCACGCACTTATTTTGTTTAAACTTGGAGTAACATAATTTTGTTCTTATAATTACCTCATGTTTATTGTCTGTCACATGCTTAAGCCTAAGGCATTGGTGTTGTAAGTTTTTACCCGGGCTGGTGCTGCTCCTCTATGTCCATCTGCCTTAGGCACGCAAAGGCTCCGGCTTTTCTTAAATATTTTAACCTATCGAAACGTCACTTTTTTTCATGATCACTTGCATTGTTCAAACTTATTGTATTGTTAAGTTCTTCTGTGTCACCCTAAAATTTCCGTAAGCCCCGGATAAGCTTTCAAATATAGAAGCGTGATGAACCGTTTTCCATTCGTGCCTACCAGACTCCTCGATTGACTTTATAATTGAACGTAATGAGGCCTAATCTTTCTAAATGTCAAGTAAATTCCCATAGGGTAGGAATCAGGTTTTGTCAAGACTTGTTGATCAATTCAAAGATTAATTGATTCATATACCGTACCCTACAATCAATCAGTAAGTCAATCAATCAATCAATCAATCGATTTCAGGCAGCAAAACTTTGTATCAAAGAATATAGAACTCTGGATGTGCCACCAAAGAAAATCACGTAGAAATTATGTCAATACAATCCCCCCTCCCACCCCACAAAAAAAAAAATAAATAAAAATAATCAAATAAATAGATAGCTTAATTAGGCTTATCAGCCAAATCAGTGGTTGTACAGTTTTATTTATTATTTATAGCCTACATCTGTTAATTGTAAGACAAGTAGGTCTCTTGTTCCTATCAAAGTCGGTTTCAAATTAAATTTTTAAAAAAGATGGAGAAAATTATTCAAATTTAAAGTCTGAGATGTGGTGCCATAATCATAAATTCAGCTTGATTAGGCCTAGGCTATGCCTATACAAAGTGACCAATTTAAATACTTACTTCAAGCTTAGTACGGTACCGCAGCTCAACACAACAAGTATGAGACAACAAATGAAAAACGACTACAATACAATTGCTTTCTAGTGTTTTCGTATTCAATATTAAACATATAAAAAAGTTTACATTTTGCAATTCCATCTATAGAGCATAAAAGCGGTACAGAGTAGGCCTATGTATACACAATAAAAACTAAATAGGAAAATTTACCAGTATTTATTTGCAGAAATATATAATATGTGTTTGATAATCATATTAAACATACAACTCTAGTTAAAATATAACAATTTTAATATACAGTAATTTACTCAACAACTATTAAGTCACTTTACATTCATATGCGCCAAGTACTAAGAGCACGGAGGACCTGAATTCCCCTGCTAAGAGGTAGGAGGCAGTACAGTTATTCAAATAGAGGGCGGTATATGTGAAAAAAGACTTCTAATTATATAAAGGTCTCTTGTTCGTCTCTTTTGACTTTCCTGTAATACTTTAGACTTTACTAATATTTAATACTGTACTGTAATTTCTTTTTTCTCTCCAATCAAGTGTTGTTAGCTTTGTATTTAATTTAAATTTTTGTTATTTGTATAATTGTTACTTGACTTTATTGTGGACGCACCACCGTGGAGGTGTGTAGGCCGACCATTGTTCCTACAAATACTGAATTAACTACTGAAATCTCTACATCATTAAACCGATTAATATGGTAATCATTACTACATCATCACTATGCCGTTGTGTGGCCTTTCGGTGTAATCCGGCTCGTTATTTTGTCTTGCTTTGCTCACAAGATAGTTCAGCCTCTGTTCAGCATTTGCAATGGAACCAGTTTCTGATTTGGATATGATATCTACAAAAGCCAAGAGAGCAAAGCATTTTAAAACCATAATAAAAGCAACAAAAATCAAAGAACTTAAATGGTGGTGGTGGTGGTGGTGACGCCGGTGATGCTGTTGGTAATGTTGCTGATGATCCGTTTAAATGATGGTGGATGGTGGTGGATCAGTTGGTGAAGATGATCATATTTCCGATGATGATGAAGAGGAAAATGATGATGATGATGATGGTGGTGGTTGTCACGGTTGCGGAGGTTGTGATATTAAATTATGGTTATAATGGTAGTGAAAGTGATGGCGATGATAATAATTATGATGGTGGTAATGATAAAGATGACGTTATAATGACAATGGCATGACGAATGAAAGAATAAAGATGATGATGGTAGTATAATGATGATGATAATAACGCTGAAGGGATGATTAAGGTGCTGTGGGTGATAAGGGTGGTGACAAACTAATATTTTGTTTAAATACATTTTTAAAAGTCTATGGATCTGATACATACCGTTGCGCTTTTGCTCCACGAGCTTGTGGATCTCATCAAAATCAACCCCATTGTCCAGCAGAAGCTGAATGTCCAACATCAACGCAGTTATCAAGACGTCTGCCACTAAATTCAAATTAACAGTTTGATAGTTTTGTTTTTCATATTAAAGATCATGTCTAAAGCTCTGTCTAACACTTATGTGACAAATTTGTGTGATGTGCCCTTTTATGATCACGACGATACACCCAAATATGGGCAAATCAAAGTTATTTGTCACATAGTATAGACACAACATTACTAAATGGCCTTTACATATCCAACATAGGTCTATATAATTAAACAATAGAGGGTCAGTTATGCGTCGGTATCAGGTCTCGAATATGTAAAAGGTCTATAATATTCTCTATGATAGATCGGAGCGGATTCGTCACTATCCACTAAGTGCAATCTCGGTGGTCGAATGGTTAAGTCCCTAGCTAGTTATCCAGAGGTCGTGGGTTCGATTCTCATCCGATCACTTGCGATATTTTTTTTCACAAGCATATGGGGACGTACGCATTCAGTACTAACACGTCAGGAAGGGCAAAACGATTAGTAACATATGTTTACAACGAAAGATCTTCAGACTTATTTAACGTAACAGAGGACGACTCACCAGTTTTACATTCTCCTTTATGTCGTATTTTCAGGTCTTTGTTTTTACAAGCTGCAACTGTTAATTTGCACTCATTTGCGTAGTTTTTGTCGTCTGTTCCACAAACAGGATCGACTGTACCTAAACATACCATCGAGCTGCATTCGCCTTCAGAAATATTATTTTTAATAACACAAAGTTTAGAATTACGATAATTATAATGCCAAGGCCTCTAGGCGCTTCATTACCTTTGTCGGTCATTAATTAGCTTACTGTACATATCCATAAGGATATGCCTATAATCATGACTCCCAGCACCCACCCCATGTCGACCACGATTCGGTCCTAAAATCGGAAAACATTACTCTAAATTCTTTTTGCATCCCTATAACACGTTTCCGACAGCTTATAATAGACCAAAATATTCTTTTAATCGCAAAGGGAGCTATCGTCGGCAATTTTCGGCCCCGCTGGTTATTGTAGCCTAAAAACTTACTTTTCTTTTCGGCGTCTGAAACCTCTGTTGCCGTTTCCTCGTTCCCTGCAGTATTTTCGTCTTCCTGCAAATCTTTAAAAAAATATTAATTATTACGGTAGTTCATGAATTTGATTTATTTACTATGATTTCTAACGAAGCTCAAACCCATGCTCACACCAGCTGGAGCTATCACGGCCTATTATAACTGATATTTTATTTATATCGCCATCTTTGAAAACGACGGTCAATTGAGTTATAACATTGTACACCTTATGTTATTACATTCAGCGAAACCAAACCACACGAAATCAATAGATAGACGTATAATACAAACAGTTACACTTATGACCAATAGAGCCATATATTCATACGAGAACAATGTAGACGCGTTGAATGTTGGGTTTGCGTCATTGCATGCGTCTCATTTTAAGTGGTTTCATATATAATATAATTTTACCCCGTAGTAATTTTTAAAGTGTGAAAGCTACCGTGAGCTTACACCAAAACGTACATTTTAAGGAAAGGTACCATACGCTACACGCCTGATGTTTGCCGTTTGCATGAACGCTTTGGAGTGCGTACTGCGTAAGCCCAATGTAGGCCTACATATAATTTTATACAATCATAAAGCTAAAATTTGACACATTTTTCAATTTAATCTATTTAATTAAATTCAGTATACAAAGGTAAGGCCTAAGCAATGTGAAGTAAATCAATTTAAACTTCCCTTATACTTTATTTTTACCACCAGAATATAAATATTCAACAAAAAATAGGGGGGTGGGGGTGAAACTAACCTTTCACTGCTCCTAGTTCTTCCGGTGCAAATGGCCTTCCAGCGAACCTCCCCAAACTATCGCCCCGTTCTGGTAATTCAGTGTTTCCTTTTGGAGGAGCAGGTAAAAGGTCTTTTGAATTCACAACGTTGGTTTGGGCCATGGGGTCAAACGCTTAACATTAAAAAAAAAATAATAATGTTGTGAGACTCATAGATAGTTCAGTTCATTTCAGTCGTATTAAACCAACTATGGTCTATAATAAGCCTGTTTCGGGAGTGTTGGGGTGGCTACCCAAATGTTCAGATGGTTTAAATTAAAGTTATAATTTAGGGCAACTTAATAGGATACTGTATTATTTCACAGTCATAAATGCATGCATGTTGATCACATTTTAGTGAGGTGGGGCGGGGTGGAGGGAAGGAATGGTGATGAGTAATAAGTATCCAGCTCTCGTGTACATAATTTTCTATTCTCAATGCGTTTATAGGCCTACTTCGAATTTGTCTATATAATATTCTTTATCATTAATATCAATTTGAAATGATACTCTTACCCTCTTCTTGGTTCACTCGTTTTTCATTTCCAAGACGCTGAAAATATGGAATTTATATTAAATAGGCCTACGGTAAGTTAGCTGTGTTGCAATGGTGTGTATTCCAAAATAAGCCCATATTAATTTTACGTATTCTATTTATTCCACTTGATACTAAAGGAACAATAGGATTCTGTCATAGTAAAATGTTGGTATTAAGAACATTTTACGATTAGTTTTACTAACAATAAATGTATGTATCCAGGTTAATACCGTATTGTATTTTGTTTGAGCTAGACCTATTGACCGTCCCACCGAAACGAAGCGTTCAGGGGCATATGCATTAGTGTATTCAAAAGAACAAATGAATCAATAAAAATAGGATTTGGGTAAGGTCTATATTAAATAAAAGATGCGAAAATATGGTACGATTGAAAAACGTTTGACAGTCTAATTT